TCATCCTGTTTCTGTACATTAAGGAGTCAACGTTTTAGCTGGTATGTTGTAGGACTTGGGGTGGCGCTGCCTTCCTCCTGAGCTTATTTCCTTGTGTTTTCCTGTCTGCTTGTGACTTGGCTGGGTGGCTTGAGGGAGACTGCTTTTCTTTGGTCTCTATTCACTGCCTGGCTGCCTGTTTCTGCCATTGGGGTTTTTTTGTTTTGTTTTGTCTTGTTTTGTTTCTTTTTTGTAATGCCCTGGAGCACAGATGGTTGGGCAGTCAAATGCAGTTAAATCTGACCAGTGGTGAGGCGGTTTGGTTTGGTCTGGTCCTGGGGAGGTGGTTGGGCAGCTGTTGTTCTGGAGGGGTTTCTGATTTGGTAGTGTCTTGAGCAGGCCCGTCATCAGCATAGACCACACTCGTTCCTGTCTTTCCACAAGGTCAGGATTTGCTGAATGACAGTCAAGTCACAGGCTGCACCACTCAGCAGGGGCAGTTCACTGGCTACGTGCAGATCACCTGGTGGTCATAAGCCAGGTAATCACAGGTTCTTATCCCAATCTTCATTGCCAGTACCTCTGGCACATCACACTTCACACAGTGACACACATAAGAAGGGGTCAAGGCAGCCACAGGGGTCAGGGAGACTGAACTGAGAGCAAAGGCGGAGTCCCTGCAGGCGGTCAGGTAAGATCAGGAACCAGCTGAAGAGCTTGTTCAGGGTGCAGGAGCTTATTCTAGGCCGAGGTCCAGCAGTTTCACCATGTCAGCTTGGAGTGGGACTCCATGGTCATCATAGGCAGAAGAAATCACACTCTGCTAAAGCCTAAGAACAGATCCGAAGGTTCTTTGCTATGACAATTTTCTTGGGCAAGGCTAGTGACCAGTGACCAGAGTTAGGGTGCCACTGTGTCCAGTCCCAGGGTACCTCCCCTTTTATGGGTCTCAAGTGAGGGGTTTGTTTTATTTGGTGATCTAGTATTCTCAGTAATCTCATGGGCCTGGTGTTCCAGTGTTAGTTTCATACGCCCATACATGCTTGTGATTAATTTGGTAAATTCATGRGTGGTCATTCTTCATTAGCATGATGAACTTATTACAGTTCATGCCTTTAGTTGTGCCAGGCAGATGGTGGTGGTTCACTTGTACAAACAAGGTATGGCTTCATTGCATCTCAGCCCTTAAACTCAAAATGGAGTAGCTCACAGCAAACTACTGCTTTACAAAATGAAGTGAGAAAGGTTAAAGCACAGCCTGAAAACTGCTGCTCTGTACATCGTGGAGTAACTCAGAGAGGGCAYGGCCTTCTCTCCGCAGAAGGCAGGTGGGTTTGTTGGTTGAACTGTGGCTGTTTTCGGGTTGGCCTTGGGTTAGCTCTGGCCCTGGAAGGCTCTTCTCAGCTTCCCCTTCCCTGCAGAGGCTCACTGAGGCCCGCCTGCCCACACTTGGACAGGGAGTGTGCTTCCCAGTGGGTGGCAGCAGAGCTTTTCCTCCTGCACTGCCCGTCTCCAAGCATAGACTTAGAGCCACTACTATTCTGGCTGGGCAGTAGCCACTGATTTTCTTTACTGCTGGACTTGGAATGGGGTCCCCATCTGTGGGGCATGGTGGAGGAGCCAACTGCTCTCTTGGCCACACTAAGCAGGAATGTGGTCTCTTCAACCTAGAGTGCTGGGCTAAAGAAATCCTGGTGGTGTGGCTCTCCCCCCATGCTCACTGCCTGCCAAGTTGTAGCAGGTGTCATGGAGTAAATGTCTCTTCACTCGCTATATGCCTTTAGAGACTCCCCAGTGTTTTATTGGGGAGACTTCCACAAAGTGCCTCACACTGCCGGCCAAGAATCAGGAATCTCCTCTTCACTTTGAAAGGGTAGCTTTACTAGTGTCCACTGCCTTTGGCTCTCAGCTGTGGTAAGTTATACTTTTTTCCCCCTGGGCTGGGGGTTGGTGCTCTACCTCTGAGCCCAACTGTGGTTCAGTGGTGCCTCATTCTGTTCATTTGTATTCATTCTTCTTTCTATTCTTCACACTATAATCTCAGTTTACCTGTTTCCAGGTTTGTTGATTCCTGCTTCTCCCTACTCACATCTCACCAGAGTCCCTCTGGTGAATTATTAAACTGAGTTGTACTTCTCAACCTTAGAATTTCAACCTGATGCTTCTTTATCATTTTTACTTCTTTACTGAAATTCTCCATTGGTGAGATATAGTTCTCTTACTTTAGTTCTCCAGATGTATTCTTTGAAAGTAATTAAAATAGCTAACTTAAAATCCTTTTCTCATTGGGCACAGTGGTACACACCTGTATCCCAGCAACTTGGGAGGCTGAGACAGGAGGATCTCAAGTTTGAGGCCGGTGAGACCATGTCTCAAAAGGAAAAATCAAAGGGACTGGGGATGTGGTGGCTCAGTGGTTCAGTGAGTGTAGCCCATTGATTTAATTCCCAGTGCTGGAAAAAAAATAATTTTTTTGTAGGCAGTTTGTTTTTGGGTCTTTTTTTTTTTTCGGGGGTTGGGGGGGTGCCGGGGATTGAACTCAAGGCACTTGACCACTGAGCCACATTCCCATCCCTTTTTTTGTATTTTATTTGGAGACAGGGTCTCACTGAGTTGCTTAGCACCTTGCTGTTGCTGAAGCTGGCTTTGAACTTGGGATCCTCCTGCCTCAGCCTCCTGAGCCACTGAGATTATAGGCCTACACCACCACACCCAGCCTCAGGCAATTTTTATTGACTACTTGTTCGAATGTATGGGCCATAACTTCTTGTTTCTTTGTATGTTTTATGATTTTTTTATTGAAAAGTAGACTTTTTTTTTTTAAATGGACAGAATGCCTTTATTTGTTTTTGTGTGGTGCTTAGGATCAACCCAGTGCCTCACATATGCTAGGCAAGTKCTCTGCCACTGAGCCCCAGCCCCAACCTGAAAAGCAGATTTTCAGTTAATAAAGGGTAGCAATTCTGGGGTGAGACTCCCTTTCCCCAGCATTTGTTGCTGTTTTTTGACCTGGTGATTTTACTGAACTAATCTGTAAAGCCTGTGTTCTTTTTTGGTGACACTACAGTCTCTGTTCAGTTAGTTTAGTCAGGGGATAGAGCGAAAACCTCTGTGTCTAGAACCAGTAAGTCTCCCAGTCTCCCAGGGCCTCTGTGTGTTAGGACACACCTTCAGCCCAGACAGTAGTGGGCAGCCCTACTTCATCCTTCACTTCCTGCTAAGGCCCCACCTCAAGGCCAGCCAGAGGTGACCACTTAGGGCCTCTGGGGTCCATGGAGTGTCTGCATAGCTCTAGCTCTACACATACACATGGCTTCCAGGTTCCTAGGGACACACAGGCCTTCTCAGGGTCCCTCATGATCCCTCCTTTACCCGCTGTTCCTTTTGTTGCTGTCGCTGTTGCTGCTGTTGGGGTCGGGGATTTGTTTGTACATTTGGTTCCCTGGAAGTGCTTAACCATTGAGCCACATGCTCAGCCCTTTTTATTTTGAGGCAGGGTCTCCCTAAGTTGCTGAAACTGGCTTTGAACTTGTGCTCCTCCTRGGATTACAGTGTGTGCCACCATTCCCAGCTCAGGGTTCCTTTCTGTTGTCTGGTTAGCTAGTATTATATGTGCTTTGAGCAGCCACATCCTTTAAAAGTCACCCCTGGGTGTTCCAACAAACACTCCCAGGGGAAACGGCTTCTTTACTGGTCAGAGCCCTCCCTGCACGAGGAGTCTTCCAGGGAGCTGCCCTCATAGGCCTTAAAGCAGCTGCAGGCCCGCCCACACCCCTGCTTCCCCACTGTGGGTGCAGCCCTTGGTCTCAAGGCTGCAGGAGAGGGAGTAGAACGGGTCAGGCTAGGAGCCATGGACCTCAGTGCTCTTGCCAGACACAGTTGTTCCTCCTGAAGAAACTGCTTCCAGCATGAACCGTTCTTTGGTTACCTTTCAGAGTCCTGCAGAAGTTGGCTTCACCTTTCTTACCAGTTTTTGCTCTGCTGCTTTGGTGTCCCTTCCTCCACCCCTTCCCCTCATGCTACTGTTGATGCTGATGCTTATTTTCATGCCTCTGTATGTTAGAAAGCAGTTCCAGGGGGCTGCGGTTATGGCTCGGTGGTAGAGCACTTACCTAGCACACGTGAGGCACTGGGTTCAATTCTCAGCACCGCATATAAATAAATGAGTAAAATAAAGGTCCATCAACATCTAAAAAAACATTTAAAAGAAAGAAAGTAGTGCCAGTGCCAACCCAGCACCAGGGGGCTCTTTTTGGTTTTTTCTTAACCCTGACTGGGAGAAGCCTATTCCTACCGTCCTGAAGGGATTGATTCAGGGGGTCAGGTACTACCCCCTTCGCACTGTGTGACCCTCACCATATTTGATGCCTCCTCTGAGCCACCATGGCTATCCCATCAGTCCTTCCTGATGGGTTCTGGGCTGAGTTCAGGAAAGCACTGGGAGAGGAAGGTCACTATGCGCAGTGTTTGACAATCTAGTCCTTGTCTCACCTGCCAGAAGGATGAGACTGTGTTCTGAGCACAGCTGCACCTTCCTCCAAAGTAATGGAGGTTTGGTTGGTTCTCATGTCCTTGATGGCCTCAGTTGGGCTCTTAGCTGTTCGGTTTTTGTTGTTGTTGCTGTTTTGTTTTATTTCTTGTTTTTGTGTGTGTGTGTGTGTGTTTGTGGTGCTGGGGATTGAACCCAGGGCCTTGTGCAAGTGAGGCAAGCACTCTACCAACTGAGCTATATCCCCAGCCCCTGCTCTTAGCTGTTCTTAAGGAATTTTTTGCTGATTATAGCTACATACCATTTGCAGAGAGTGGACCAGAGTATATTGTGTTGCATGAATGTGAACTTGGCGTCCAGGAACCACTTATCAAGGGAACCCCATCTCTGAATGCAGGCCAGGGCGTACTGGGGTAGACTCTACCTTCCAGCAGCCCCGTACGGTGGGAGTRTGCACTGCCCACTACACAGGGAGGGAGTCAGACCACTATCCCTGTCACTGCTACATGTGGCCTGCTGTGTCTCCTGACAGAGTGGGAACAGCTTCCATGTGTTTGACCAAGGCCAGTTCGCCAAGGAGGTGCTACCCAAGTACTTCAAGCACAACAACATGGCCAGCTTCGTGCGGCAGCTCAACATGTGTGAGTGCCCACTCTGGCTGGGCGGGTGCCCCCTTCCAGGAGTCTGTGGGAGGCAGACCCCAGCATGTTCACCCCAGACAGTGCTCTGGATTGGCCAGGGGCAGGGCCTGGAATCCACTACACATGAGGACTGCGGCAAAGTACCTCTTTGTTGGAAGATCCTCGAGAGTGTGAACCTGGGGTTTCCAGGGAGGAAAGAGTTGTGAGGCCCTAGCCATACTCCCTCACAGATGGGGAACTSTTGGGAATGGGGTCTCCCTCATAACCAGAGCACCCAGCTGCCATGGGCATGGGCTCTGGCCACAGCCCTGCATGGCCCTTCTCCAGGGGCCTTCCCTCACTTGGCCCTCAGGAAGAGCTCTCCCACCCCTGTGTGTGCAGACGGCTTCCGGAAGGTGGTCCACATCGAGCAGGGAGGCCTGGTTAAACCTGAGAGGGATGACACTGAGTTCCAGCACCCATGCTTCCTGCGTGGCCAGGAGCAGCTCCTGGAGAACATCAAGAGGAAAGTGACCAGCGTGAGTGGCTGGCCCTAAACACAACCCTCCTTGTCGTCCTTCCTTGCTTGTCCCTCTCTGACCCACCCCTAACCATCCCCGTTGGCCCTTCCTACTGTGCCTCAGGCCTCCCCACTCTCCTTGGGGTCCAGCTGCAGCATGAGAGCCAGCCCCACTCCAGGACCTCCAGAGCCTCTTGTCCACCCCCAGGTATCCACACTAAAGAGTGAAGACATAAAGATCCGCCAGGATAGCGTCACCAAGCTACTGACAGATGTGCAGCTGATGAAGGGGAAGCAAGAGTGCATGGACTCCAAGCTACTGGCCATGAAGCAGTAGGTCCTGCATGTCCAGGGGTGGCTCTGGAGCGTGGATATGTGCTGTGGGCTAGGGAATGGGACAAGGAGGACCTCYTGCAGAGCCACCATCCAGCTGTGACTTCTGTGGCAGAAGCTCTGGGGCCTTCTGTATCCATACTCTGGGGGAGGCATCCTGCTGGGTCACTTCCTTCACCCCAGAAAGATAGACCTCTGCCTGGTTCCTGGAGCCACAGGCTAGATGAGCTTCCACTCCACAGGATCTGGGTGCACAGACTCTGCCCTCCAGGTCCCTCCCTGAGGGCCAGGGCAGCAGGAAACTGACCAGGACAGTCCCAAGGCTAGGTCAGGTTCTCTCCCTCCCCGGTTGCCCACAGTGTCACTCAACGCAATGTCAACATCCCCACCACTGCCACCATCTCAGGCCTGGGGCAGGAAGCAGCATAGGATCTTTCTTGAATTTTTGCCTATGTATGTTTGGCAAACACCTGACCACCTGGGGCCCTCCTCAACCAGGACCCAGGGCTCTAGGGGCTTTGCAGGCAGCCTAGCACTTGAGAAACTGAGGCACGGGTCTCTTTTCCACTTTGGGTCCCTGGAGACTCAGGAATTCTACCCATATGGCACAGGAGGCCCTGGGTTCACACTCCCACATTAGGCCTAGCAGAAGCCACTGACTTTGTGACCAGTGGATGTGGCTTTTCTCACAGTATGGCCAAGGGGCCATATCTTTGTCAAGGAGATATGGGCTTTGCAGGGCTAGCCCACCAGAGCATCAGGAATGCACCAGATCTTGCTTACCTACCTGGGTGGGGGAACCATGTTTTGGCAGCTCATCCCTATCCCCACCAGGCCACTTCCACACTTGGTGCAGGGCCCTCAGCCCCTACAAGGTGCAGGGCACCCCCAGGAGTCACTCAGCAAAYTGAGGAATCTGTATTTCTGAAACCTGATTCCTTGGTGGGAGCAGATGACTGGGGTTGGATTCAAGCTCAAAGAACCTCCCAGTCGCCACCTCKACCCCACCGCATCATCAGTGGGTGTCCTGCAAGCCCCACCTTTGTCCTCTGGGAAGCACACCAGAGGCTGAAGGGGGGCAATGTTGCCAGCAAGCCCTCGCCTGGCCCCGGCCCTTGTCCCACACCCCCTTGGACATGCCTAGGGCAGGGGAGGCTACAGAATACCCCTGCTGAGACTGCTGGGGGCCTGCCTGACCCAGCCTGTGTTGCAGCGAGAACGAAGCCCTGTGGCGAGAGGTGGCCAGCCTGCGGCAGAAGCATGCCCAGCAGCAGAAAGTCGTCAACAAGGTGGGGCAGGGCTGGCGGTGGTGGGTCCCTCCACAGCAGGGCTGGAGTGACTGGAGTGACTGGAGTGACTGTATCCTCTCTGCCCTACAGCTCATTCAGTTCCTGATCTCGCTGGTGCAGTCCAACCGGATCCTGGGGGTGAAGAGAAAAATGTGAGGCACTGGGGGTGCCTGTACCCTCTGCTCAGGCCCTGGGCCCTCCCTGTGCTCCATCTGCTGCATCCTAGCGAGCAGCTAACCCCCACCCCTTCCCCACAGCCCGCTGATGTTGAGCGACAGCAGCTCTGCACACTCGGTGCCCAAGTATGGCCGGCAGTACTCCCTGGAGCATGTGCAYGGTCCAGGCCCATACTCGGTAAGCACTAGGTTGGGCAGGACSGCCCCCACAGGTCGTGCAGGGTGCTTGCTGCCTGCTCCAGGGTGGCCACAGGCAGACCCTACCCCGTGACCCAGCCCCTACCTCTGTTTGCAGGCTCCATCCCCAGCCTACAGCAGCTCCAGCCTCTATACCCCAGACGTTGTTACCAGCTCTGGACCCATAATCTCCGACATCACTGAGCTGGCTCCCGCCAGCCCTCTGGCCTCCCCAGGCAGGAGCATAGATGAGAGGTGGGGCTGTGTCCCCCCCAGCCCTCCTGTCACCTCACTGGGCCAGCCCATATGAGCCCGGGGTAGAGTTGGGAGGGAGTGGTGCCCGCTGAGGTTCCTACTAACGTGTCCCCCAACATGTCCAGGCCCCTGTCCAGCAGTCCCCTGGTRCGTGTCAAGGAAGAGCCCCCCAGTCCACCTCGGACCCCCCGGGTGGAGGAGGCGAGTCCCAGGCACCYGTCCTCTGTGGACACCCCCTTGTCCCCGACTGCCCTCATCGACTCCATCCTGCGGGAGAGCGAGCCTGCCCCCACCTCAGCCACAGCCCCCACTGATGCCGAAGGCCGCGTCCCCTCGTCCCCACCCCGCTCAGCCCCCGAGAAGTGCCTCAGCGTAGCCTGTCTGGACAAGTGAGTGCTGCCCCTGAGCACACAGCCTGAGCCTGTGCTGGGACTGTCCTGAGGGGTGGGGATACTGAACCCCCAGGCCCTGCAGGGGGGTATGGGATTTGCAAATAGTAAGCAAACAGGATTAGGGCCAGGGAGGGAGTTGAATTTGGCCAGATCACTCTACAATCTGGGGCCCCTGCCCGCTGGCCACCCTTTTGGCTGCCATCACCCTCTCCTGCAAACCACAGGACCCTTGCCTGTCATGCTGCCCAGACCAGCAGCAAGAGATGGTGAGCCGGGCCTGGCTTTGACCCCTTTGGCCCTGCCCAGAGGCTGAGTGAGTGAGGATGGTGGGCTCAGAGCCCACCCTCTGGCCCCCACCTGCAATGGGGGGGGCTCTTGTCTTTGTATCTTGCAGTTTGGCTCGCGCTCCACAGATGTCTGGGGTCGCCCGCCTCTTCCCCTGCCCCTCCTCTTCCTTTCTGCATGGCCGAGTCCAGCCAGGGTTAGCGCGGCTCCCATTGGGGAGGGAGGAGGGCTCTGTCGGAGCTCGGGCCCCTCCTGCAGCCACGAACCAGACCCTGCCCTGTGCACAGCACTCACCCTGTTTGTCAAGGGTGCCAGGGGAGGGCTTCCCAGGCTCTGCATCCTCACTGACTTCCCAGGCATGGGCCAATGGCTGTGACTGGGACAAAACCCTACCAGGCCCAGCCACCAGTGCAGGCAGGATCCAGGCTGCTGTGCTGCGATTACTTTCGGGGTGGGGTGGGCCCCATGGCACCTGTAGAGCCGTCCTGGCTGTCCTTCCCATGGCCCCCAGATACACCAGGGGAGGTGCAGACCTAACCATGCTAAGGATAGCCTGTCTACCTTCTTTACTCTTCCAAGTGCTATGGCAAGACCTCGTTAAGCCTGAAAAACTGCACTAGAGCTGAACCCCTCATCCCCTGGTGCTTTCTTGCCCCAGCCTTGATCACCCCCAAGGCCTTCCAGCCTTCTACCAGTATCCTGTGGGCCAAGCTGCACCCTACCCTCAGTAGTCATGGAGGGCACAGAGCTTAGCACCTTCCAGTTGTGTGTGTATATATACACACACACACACAGTCCCCCCAGCCCATGCTGGGGGTGCTGAGGGGCCCCATCTAGGGAATGGGTGTAGCCAAGGGAGAGCCCTTCTCTACAGGAGTGTGTCTGGGGCTCTGGTTCACCTGCCCACTCACCCCGGGCCAGGAATGAGCTCAGTGACCATTTGGATGCCATGGATTCCAACCTGGATAACCTGCAGACCATGCTGACCAGCCATGGCTTCAGTGTGGATACCAGCGCCCTGCTGGACGTGAGTCTGCCCTATCTTCTCCCTGCTCCACCCCATTCTCTGTAAGCCAGCCCTGACYTCCCTCCCTCCCTCCCTCCTGCAGCTGTTCAGCCCCTCCGTGACCATGCCCGACATGAGCCTGCCTGACCTTGACAGCAGCCTGGCCAGCGTGCGTAGGCGGGCAGGGTGGGGGGCGGGGGCACCAGCAGCAGTCCTCACCATGTCCCTTCCACCCCACAGATACAGGAGCTCCTGTCTCCCCAGGAGCCCTCCAGGTCTCTTGAGGCAGAAAACAATGGCCCTGACTCAGGTGAGCCAAGCCCTGTGCCTGCCCCCCATCCTCCCACCACCCATATGGCCCTGACCCCCACCCACCCACAGGGAAGCAGCTGGTGCAGTACACAGCACAGCCTCTGTTCCTGCTGGACCCGGACGCCGTGGACACGGGGAGCAGTGAACTACCTGTGCTCTTTGAGCTGGGGGAGGGCTCCTACTTCTCCGAGGGAGACGACTACACAGATGATCCCACCATTTCCCTGCTGACGGGCTCTGAGCCCCCCAAAGCCAAGGACCCTACTGTCTCCTAGAGATGCCAAGAGGGACTGGGAGGGCCTGTGGCCTGCTTCCACCCTTAGGACAGGTTTGGGGGAGGCAGGACAGGCACACAGCCTCCACGGCCCCAGTGGGGGAAGAGGGGCTCAGGGCTGGACAGTGCCTCCAGTCCAGAGTGAGGGCCCTTGGGCCTGCACACCTGCTGCCTTCGCCCAGCCCCGCATCCCCATGGCTTGTTTGGGGCTTCACAGTCGCACTTGGACTGATTCTGCAGGTTGTTCATAGAATTGTATTTTGGATTTTTACATGAGGGTCCCCCTTTCCCCTTCACAGAAAAATATATACACACAGACGGACAGACAAGACGGGCAGAGATCTATAAACCGACAAGCTCTATGCTATGGCTTCCTATGTGTTTCCTCCTGCCCTGGGGGTTTTASGGAGGTGGGGATATGGGGGAAAGGCCCAGAGTAGATCTGAACGGTGGTGGCAGTACTCTGGCCCTGATTGTCAGCAAGACAACCCTTCCTAAGGTGTCCCTTCGGAGACAGGGCACAGGTAA